TACATATATATATATATATATATATATATATATATATATATATTGGTTATGTTAATGCGTGGCACGATGTCAGTTTCCGCCATGCAGAGCTTTTTCGAAAATAGTGTGAGGCTCATCCACAGTTCATGAGTCTCGATTTTACACCATATTCCCCTTTCCTCAATCAAATAGAGTAATACTACTCTACATGGAGGTGTAAGGGTTGCAATGACAATTTCGAAGCAATGTTAAGCCTGGATTTGTCATGCCACAAGATTTTTTCCGCAGTGCTTGAAGAAGGCAAGGATATTCACTGTGATGTTGATGAAAATTTATGGCCAAATGTTGAAGGCAGGTTTGATTCAATAACATTGTGTATTTGAAATTATCTCCATTTACACTCCAAAGTGTTTACTTTAAATTACTGTTTCAAAATGCAAATTTTTATTTTTATTTTTCCAGAATACAATACCTTTCAAAATTTTACTTGTATAATTTTTTATGGATTTTGTCAGTTTGTTTGGCTAATGTAAGTGTAATATCCATTGTGATCACTGTGTATATTATACCATATTATGTTTTTTTTTTTTTTATGATACTGTGTTTGTATTTAAATATTTGCCTCAATATGGTCGCCTTGTTTTAATTGTGATATACTATAGCTACTCACATTATTGACTTTGATTGCTAACAGGTGTAATCAATTGGAACTCTGTTTGAATCTGAGTACTTACTGAGCTGTTGCCTTTGCATGTATGTGTGTTTGCCTGACAAAGGTCTTTGACCGAAACGTTGCCACTTTTAACTTTTTTGAATAAAGGGAGAATAACAGTGTGCAGATCTTTTTTCCTATTATTTGATATACCATATTATACTACAGTAACCACCATTGTTTGCTACTGAATTAACAGATTGTTATAAGTACTAAACTGAAAGAAGATAATACTGTTGTGTTTTGGCAATTAAACTGTGTGTAGTGTTTTGCAAAAACTGTGATATAGAATTAAGACCTCAGTGTAAAACAGAAATCTTGCAAATTCAGTAAATTGATTTGGTGAATTAATTTCAGATTTCAGTAACTGCGTTTCAAGATCCAATTTTATTGTTTAAAAAATTGTGAAAAAGTGTATGATCATGTGACACCAAGGACTGTAGTAATGATGTTAAAAATTTTGCATTTCCATCACAGTAATATATCTATTTTTATTTTTACTTATTTTATGTTTTTAAATAAATAAATAAATAAACATTAATAATAAAAACTGTAATAATATTTTACAATATTACTTTTTTTAAAAACCATTACATAAATTTGACCTCTCCTAAACGTTTGAATGGTATTTTATATTTGCACTTTTTTTAAATTATGTGTTTAATTATGTTAGCCTATATATCTTAGCAGAGCATTTAAAAATGAAATAATAACCATTACAAACATAGCTAACTGCAATTTCAGCTGAACGCCTACACACATGTCCTGTTTTAGTCTTGCTATGTTTCAGTTTCTTTCAGGGATGTCTCATAAATTATTTTCCTTGGAAAAATGGATCAAAGAAGACAAGATGGTTGGGAAATAAGAGTGGCAGAAAAAGGGAGGACAAGAACCCCACAGTACCGCACTTTTTGCTGATTACACTATATATTATTATTATTATTATTATTATTATCACTGTAGCTATGAATTTCAGGATTTTTTTTCAGTGTTTTTTTTTTTCACAAGACAAATGCTATAAGCAAAAATACAGAAAAAATGCTGGCAACATTTCTAATTAATTCCCGTTTCACACTATGCTTTACTACAGTCAATAAAGTCAAAATTACTGTTATTGTTATTCTATAATGCTTTCTTAATAATAATAGTTTCCAGTGATGGGCATGTGATTAACTGTTTGACCAAGATTCATTTTGGTAACACAGACTGAATGAAGAGTTTTGAAAAAATGGCTTTAGTTTTGGTCAGCTATAAGATACTTAAATTTAAAGCAAGCATCACATTAACTCTTTTTTTTTCACCAACATTTTCTCTGAACTGCAGTCCTAGAAATGTGATAGAGAGAGCAAGATAGGCATGAAGATCTCTGTACAAGACATAATGTATCACTGACCTGAAAGGACTGTAGAAATGAGTTGAAATATATAAACACAATTTGAGATATATCATCCTCGCCTGGGTTCACAAAGAACAGCATGTATGTGATACCAAGTAAAGGCAGAAGCACTAGAGTGGCCTTCACTGCTTTCCTACAGTCACAGAAAGAGAGAAAATGGAACAGGGAAGAAGAGGAGCAAAAAAATGTAATTAGATTTATGACACATAACTGATTTGACACATTCCCTAACTTCAACTTTGGAGTCTCATTACTTTTTAAAATATTGAGAAAATGTATGACAACTATTAGCCATGTCAGTGATAACAAATTCACACCAATCAGGGCTTTACTATATTTAAACCACATTCAGATGTTCCAAATGTAACATGGTTGCAGACCATATAAAATGTAACACTCAAAAAAATAACGGTTCCAAAAAAGGGTTTTTGTAGCGACGCAACAGAAGAACCATTTTTGGTTCCCCAAAGAACCTTTCAGTGGTCAGTTCTTAAAAGAACCACTTTTTTTCTTAGTGCAAGGAACGATTTTATAATCTAAACCTTAATCCACTACAAGGAACTTTTTGTGAAATGGAAAGATTCCATGGATGTTAAAGGTTCTTCATGGAACCATCAATGCCAATAAAGAAGCTTTATTTTTAAGAGTGTATCGTGTAACATTTCAACATCTGAAGGTTAGGTACATCAAAGGTACATAAAAACATGGAGTTCCTGCAGCTGTATTCTGATTATTTTCGCTATAATGACTGTGTGCCAGAGACGTCATGCTCCAATAAGCTCTTCAAATGGAATCATTTCCATTCCATTCCAAACCATTAATTTCCTGTTATCCTTAAATACAGTAGTTTGTCTATAACGTATAATTTGGCCTCTTATCAAATGTGACAACAAAATACGGCTGTAATGGACAATAAGCCAGCAGAAGAGAAAATGAGAAAAGATCTCAAACTATGATTTTCAGAGTGACAGTAAGAAGTAAAGAAATGTGCACTGCTCAGCAGCAGCTCTAATATTGTAGATATACATAGGTAACGGAAAGTATTCAGACCCCCTTAAATATTTCACTCTTTGTTATATTGCAGCCATTTGCTAAAATCATTTAAGTTAATTTTTTTTCCTCATTAATCTCTCATGATTTTAGCAAATGGCTGCCAGTAAGAAGTAAAGAAATGTGCACTGCTCAGCAGAATACTTTCCGTACCCACTGTACTTAGATATTTAAAGTTAGGAAAAAGCAGACTAATATTTCATTAGTATAATAAATCACTATGCTTGTGTTACAATATTGCTTCTGCACTTGTACTTCAGTCTTGCACTACCACAGTTCTTGCTCACACTTCTCTTTCTGTGTCATCGTGCTGCTTCAGAGCTGCCTACTTCAAACCCTGCCATATTTACATAAGTACATTCAAGACACCTCTGTACACTGAAAACACCTTTTTTTGTGATAGGTTATATCATGTTTCCCTTGCATCCTCTGAACCCCACCACACAAAAATGAAATCTGTATGTTTAAAGTTTTCCATTTTAATCATGTAAGATATACTGCACATTATTTGCATTATCTGTGCAAACTGCTGTTTGCATGCACTTTATAATGTTGGGTCATTCACAAACTATTCAATATTTACTATTCAAAATTATAATGGTTGCTACACACCTGATTATACATTAAATAAATTCTAATTATACAAGTTTTGTTGGCTGTAACTTGACCTGTACTGTACATAGGTAAGCAACGGCTAAGGTCAAGATTTTACTGTAGAATGAGTTGCATTTTAAATAGAACAATTAAACTTGCCTTAAGTTTTGATGTTTAGGTATATGTACATCATGAGTTCCTGCTCTCCCTGTGATCAGGTGTGACCTGCAGACCAGCATCTAAATTTTGATTATTTTCGCTATAATAAATATGTGCCATAGACATCCTAATCTCTTCAAATGGAATAATTTGCCATTCCATTCCGAACCATTTATTTCCTGTTAACCTTAAATACAGTAGTTCATCAAAAGTCAATTTACCAGTAGTCAATAACATATCATTTGGCCTCTTATCAAAGGTGACAACAAAATACACCTTCACTGTAAATTTCAATATGTTAGCGTCACTTACAGGCAAAATTATTGCCTCATAAAAATCTACTTTCAGTTGCTGAATATATTTAAGTTTACACATACGCCAATTTAAGAAACTTGAATATACTAAGTAACCTCAACTAGATTTTACTGAGGCAATAAGTTGGCAAGTTTTTTTTTCAAGTAAAGTTAATAAATTGAAATACAGTGTGTGTGTGATGGAAAATGTTGTATGATTAAAGGTGTCTTAAACAGATTTGTTGTAGTATGCCTACTGATATTGCCTTAAAAAGTAACTTGAATTAATTTAATGATCATCTGAACTTGCAATACCTCGATTTTTATTAAAATGACACCACTAGTGCATCTTTCCTTTAATGTCAATGTATTATGGTTTGTGCAAGGTATATGAAGGACCATGTATGCTGAGTTGAAAATGTCAAACAATATTAGCAGTAACTTCAATGATATGAAGTATTCTTCTGAAAGCAAAAGCAACCCACACACATAAAAAGAACAAAAAATATATGTGCTGTCATCCACTCTGCCAACACTGTATGGCAAGTTTGCCACAGGTTAAGCACAAGTCATTGTTTTCTTCAGAAAATGGAAAAATATAATTAAAGTTAGTAAGTATGGGTTCTGATGAACTCTGAAATCCAAGCAACAATGAAATCCTAACCTTTTTGAGAAAAGAGGATTAATTATACATAAGCTTGTCCTCAAGACTCCTCAAGATTAATGCTTAGCAAATCAAGTGAAACGCCACAACAAAGTTTGCAAATGCATTCTCAGCAAACTCAGATGAAAGGTCTCATTTTATTCCCTGCTCTGACTGAAGTAAGTATTGCCCTGAGATACATTCACACATTAGGGAGTCATGCTTTCAGGTCAAAAGTTTCAAAAAAATCTAAACTGGTAGACTTAAATAGTGGAAAAACTTAAAAACCCTGAAACTTTAAATCCTCAATCCTCAAAACCAAGTAACCTCAGGTGACATGACAACACAGACTTGTATAAAGATAAAGATTAGCTTTTTTGATTGGGTTTAGAACAGATAATGGGTTTAGTGTCTATAGTGGCATGCAGAGAAATCTAGATAACAGTACAAGGCTAAAGAATTTTAAGCAGGTAGGTAGGTGATGTTTTCCTTGATCTATGCAAGGCATTTGGTACACTAAACCACAACAAACTCTTATCTAAATTATCATATCTTAATTTCACAGTTAATGCAATGAAATAGATTGAGTTGTATCTGATTATGAGGAAATAGTGCATTGAAACCTTTTTCATCCTTAACAGTGGGGTTCCTCAGGGATCTATCATTGAGCCTCTTTAGTTTGTACCTGAACGATTCTCTAGAAGCTTGTCCTGATGTAAATATTAAAATTTATGCAGATGACACTGGGATTTATATACATGCTAAAATTAGAGTACAAATTATCTTCTGCAATGACAAAACCCTGATTGCTTACTCAATGCTATCTAGTGCTAAATGCCCAGAAAACCTCATAAATGTATATGCCTCTACAGATGCAAGTAAAATGTACCTGAATTCAGTGATTTTTTGTTCCTCACTCTCATATTGTATAAAATCATGGTCACACGCAGGAAAGTGCCACATGTTTTGAAACTACAAGAGGATAAATAAATAATGACAGAGCATTTATTTTTGGGAGAACTCTTCCTCTACTGAACATGAAACAGGATTTCATTCAGCCTGAGCAAACACATCTTACTGCTCTTGCTCATTACAGTTAAATTGAGCAATAGTTAGTAAAAGATCTTTACCTGTATTGTATTGTTTCAGATGTGGTCGAGGCCCTCAGCTTTGTCATTAAAATGCGCACAATGTTGAAAAGGAACACAAAATTTATCTATATCGGAGAGAAAGAAAAGAGATGTAGATCAGTGATTGTGCATTTTCTCGAAATAGTTTGATGTTTCTGCACATAACATGCAGACATTTAAAGCTGTGGAGAGCTCATAAAGACACTAGTAGGTTTTGCCCCTGCAGAATGGCTTACATTAAATACTGTTGTTATTATAATGCTTTTACATGAAGAAGATATAAAAAAATAGAACAGATTCAACTTCTTAGCTAGCAACAGGTCAATAATTCTCTTAAAGCTCAAGTGCTCTATCTGAAAACAGCAGACATTGCTATCATATTAAAAGCTGATATCATGGAAAGGACTGGCTTATATTATTTGCTGATGTTAATAATTGTTCAAAATAGCATTGGGTATTACATTTACATATTGGCCATCTCAGGCTTTGTAATGGTTTAAGAGTTCATTTTTGTTCGCTTTCTTTCAAATTATTCACACTGTTTCTCTATTTGCTGGAGGAATTAACAACGACAAATCAGAGGTAAGCAATAATACAATAATACTTACAAGAAGAACTAAAATCACAGGCCCCTGATAAATGTAGTCTATGTACTTCCCAGGTTCCTTCCCAAACCAGCATCTGAAAAACAGAATATTAGTTACACTTAAAGTACATTTAAAGTACTAAAAAGTGGGACAATTAGTCTCAAGAAGTACTGAAATAGTACACATTCACTTTTAGTACTATTCCTATACTTACTACATAAAGTTATTTGGATCATTTAAAAAATATACTTAAACTGTACTTAAGTTTACCTAATAAAATTAATTTGAAGTGTACTTCGGGACAATTAGTCTCAAGAAGTACTGAAATAGTACACATTCACTTCTAGTACTATTCCTATACTTACTACATAAAGTTATTTGGATAATTTAAAAAATATACTTAAACTGTACTTAAGTTTACCTAATAAAATTAATTTGAAGTGTACTTCTTTTTTTTTTTGTAAGGGTCCTATGACTTCTACGTAATCAGACTTATTTTCACTTTGCGGATGATAAAACAGTTGAAAAAACTCCCATAGACTTACACTGAAGAAGGGATCTGAGTCATCTCATAATTGCATAGCAATTCACTAAAAACAATTCAAAACACCACAGCATTGTGGCAGTGTTTTATTTTTTGAGCTGTGAACAATGAACAGATTTTTGAGTTACACTTTATTTTGTGTCCTTGTTACAGTGTAATTATACAGTACATTTAAGTACTGAGTAATATTAATGAACTACATGGATTTACTATATGGTTAGAGTTAGGATTAGGGTTTGGCTTAGAGTTCCTTGCATGTAATTATGCATAATTTATTGTAATTATAATAGTAAGTGCATGTAACGTGTAACAAGGACACCTTAAAATAAAGTGTTACCGATTTTTGTTTACAAATAGATACAACATTAGATACAACAAAAAGGCCACACTTATTTCTTAGACTTTTGTTTCGTATTCTAACTATTCTTTCAGTTTTATAAACATTTAATCTGGAGGAAATTCCACTAATTTCCAAGTATTATCACAGGCTAATTAATTGACATCTCTTGCCAGATATACTCTTTTTTTTTCACTCCAATCATAATTATTTATTTCTACAAGTCAGCAACTTACTGTTCGTTTTCGTTGTAAAGTTTTCCAATGGCCCACGCTATAATTATCGGACACGGTATACCTGAAAGAGAGAAGATTGCGTACATTGGCAAATCACACTTTACAGACAGCAGCTGATAAAAATAAAAATAAAAACTTGAAAATGAAACATTGTTTTCCCAACAGGTGAATATCTATTGAAATGTACTAAACAGCTGTGCCATTTTTGTGTACAATATTTCAGTGCAAAAAGCTTTTTATACCCCATCCACCCACAACTTAATCAAGCACTAAATGCACTGAACCTGTGCTGTGGGAAGTTTGTGTGATTTTTCAAATACGCACCTCATTCACAAATGTCAGCACTATTTGCCTGCCACAATTAACACTGAGCTATTACTGCCCACAGAAAGATGGATGAACAGAAATGCATTTGAAAACTGTGCATGTGCATTTCTTTTGATCATGGCATTCATCAAAAGATGATCAAACGACAGAAGAAGAGTGCTAAATACTGGCACTTTTTACATTCGTAAACTGGGAATTGCACCCTGCTGATTACATGTAATAAAATGTTTGAGCTTATTTAGGCCAATACCCAATATACACTATAAACTTACATGCAAATAAACAATTCTATCAGAGGGCACAATTCTCTATTGTATTTTAATGAATGTTGTGAAGAAGATGAAACCATATTGAACAAAACCATTCTCTGAAGTGTTTGATCACACACACTGTAGGTCAGTCTTATTTCAACAAAGCCACGTTAAACAAAGGGTTGTATTGTGTGTAGTGTTTCGATGCCAGTGATTTCTTCATCTAAATGAGCAGGGAGCAAGAAATCATTAATCTATTAGGAAGTCACATGGAGGAGCCATTAAACACAAGTCTGCTGAAAGACCCCAAGAAAAAGCAGATTTTTCAACCTAGAGTGTAAAATTTGTTTAACAATGACCAGCAGACTGCTAACAGAACACATCAGATATTGAGCCAGAGAGATTGTCATGAACTACTTGAGTCTACTTCATCAAACCTATTCATAATTGCAATATGCAGCTGATGCCAGTAAGCTCTCCACCATACTGGCATCTTTTTAATCGCATTCACTTGTATCACTTATGCATTTTAAAGGGGTCCTATTATGCTATTTTACAAAGTCTTGATTTTGTTTACCATAGCAACCTGCGAGCTTCAGTGTAAATATTGCGTCAATATATAATCAATTTGAGCGCGATTTAAACCCGGATGATTGTAACCACTCCAAGTTCGTCTGCCTTGGGAAAGCTAGCGTGTCTCCGACATAGTGATAACACTCGTGGCCTTCTCTAGTGCAGCTCAACCAGGTCTCGTCCCATTCGTCGGTATTTGTGATATCACAAATCCTGGAAAATATGCGTTGTAGTCCAAACGAGTCGTTCGTTGTAGTTTTTGAAAAGTGATTTCTGTTAAATAAAATATCTCCTTTTGAAGTGGACTTTGAGCTTTGTAACTTTGCAGATCTTTTTTATGCTCAAACAGCAACATTACAGACTAACTAAAGTTGAAAAAGTGAAAAAGCATAATAGGACCCCTTTAAAACATTTACTTAAAAATAATAATACAAGAGCAACAAACATCTTTTGTTACTACAAACTGTTGTTCAGCAATAATAAACAGCCTATTATTATTAACAGTCACCTTCTATTCTGACCATTAGTCAAGAAACACTCAGTAAACACAGCAGGGGTCATGATGATTACAGCTTTAATAGCGCTCTAAAAAACAGCTCACTCAAAGCGAATCTCATGTTTTAAGTTATTTCAATTTTGATTTAATTTGAATGTGACTGAAAATGATAGTATGAGTTGGTGAGTTGTTTGCTTTGTAATTAGTCCCTCCATTTCCACTAATTTGTTTGACTGATTCATGCCAATTTACAAACATGATAGGCAGGCATTACGACACAGGCAGGGGTAATGAGCCGATAGCATGATGGAAACATTGCCTCCTCTCATGACCTTTTGCCTGTATGTAGCAGTCCCTCCTTCACACTCAAACAATGCTACAGGAGCTATACTGCAACATCATTCAGTTTTTTATCTTGTTTTGTTTCGCTTTTTTGCCTCCTCAGTGAAAATTCCACTACTCTATGCATCTTGCAAAAAATAAGTTTGGCCGATATCTTAAAAAAGAAACAGCAGAAACAATTTGGTTGAAGGCAATTTATGTCAATAGTGGCATTTTGTCTTACCTGCTGAGCTGGTCCCATTAAATCAGCAAAGTGACAGAAGTGCTGGTCGCTTGACTGAAGTATGATTTTCTTGCACACGTACACACTGTAGCTATATCTGGTTGTCCTTTTAGTGCTTAATCCTGATCTGGACACACACAGTTCAGTAATTTACGGGAGTGACAGCTGCATTCTACAACTGAATTGACTCCTGAAAAATTCTATGTAGTGTATACAGAACCAAACTGAACAACTTGTTGTTAATGACATATTTCAATGCGTATCAGAGTTGTCATGCAAGAAATCACAGTGAAGAAGGTACGTCTTGACTCAGTGTTGCCAGATGTGGATATTGAAAAACAGCAAACGAGAACAAGCCTATAATAAATTTAAAACTGGACATGCTGCTGTCTGGGCATGCTGCTGTTCTCATTCCCCGAGGATGGCACCCCGCTGGTACTTCTTGGTAGGGATACACCGAAGCCAAACAAAATGAAACACTGGGCCGAAGGCTGAATACTGAACATGGTTTTTCGCATTTTTCCCCCCCATGTATTTCGCCAATTTTTTTCACCATTGCATAAATTAAATAGCCAAAATGTGCTAACATTCATTTGCATTTTTTAACATTCTAGCAGACATTATACCAACAAAGCACAATTTAACTTAAAATTAATAAGTCAGTAAAATAATATTTTTTGGCCATTTTTGAGACCGCCTTCTTGAATCAGGCATGTATTTTTTTACTGTACAAATAAATGCAGCCTTGCTGAGCAGAAGAGATTTCTTTTAAAACATTTGAATATATTACAGATCCCAATTTGAACACTATGTGTGAATGTTATAATAAATGTATTAATAGAGCTGTTGTAATTATTATTATCGTTATTATTGTCTTACTTTTTTTTTTTTATAGAGCAACAGTAAAATCACAATACCAACATTTATGAATGTTGATTGAGTTCTTGCTTTTTCTCAGCTTTTATTTTGGCAGAAACCCGCAGGAAGACCTCAGTGCTTCTTTTTGTTGACAACAGCAGATTTATAAATTATGTTTGTCGCACGTATCGCATTGTCACATGCCTTTAAAAAAAATCATAAAAATGTGACTATGCAATTGATCAGTAAAACTGTTTCAGCGCAGATTTTCTCGATCTTTGGACTTTGAAGCCTGGCTAACAAGCTCGTGCAACGCTGTTTGAATACATGCAATTCGTGCGTGTATTAGAAAAATAAAATTCTGCAGTTTATTTACTAATTGTTTAAAGCCATTTCGCGATTTCAATCATCAAACAGTAACCAACAACAACCCTTCCTCTTCTCATCATAGACATGAGATGCAGCACTACCAATCTCTCACTGTCGGTGCTTGTAATGTGCCAACGTGTTTGCTGCATTAGCGTACGCCTCTATTTGATCGCATCATGTCATTGTTCAGTACAATTTATTCAGTCTTTTCGGTTATTCGGAACGCAATTTTGGTTGCCGAACATTCGGTGCATCCCTACTTCTTGGAGACTTCAACATCCACGATGATAAGCACAGCAGATTTATAAATTATGTTTGTCGCACGTATCGCATTGTCACATGCCTTTAAAAAAAATCATAAAAATGTGACTATGCAATTGATCAGTAAAACTGTTTCAGCGCAGATTTTCTCGATCTTTGGACTTTGAAGCCTGGCTAACAAGCTCGTGCAACGCTGTTTGAATACATGCAATTCGTGCGTGTATTAGAAACATAAAATTCTGCAGTTTATTTACTAATTGTTTAAAGCCATTTCGCGATTTCAATCATCAAACAGTAACCAACAACAACCCTTCCTCTTCTCATCATAGACATGAGATGCAGCACTACCAATCTCTCACTGTCGGTGCTTGTAATGATTTTTTACACTTTTTGACACAAAATGCTTCCACACTGCCAACATGTTTGCTGCATTAGCGTACGCCTCTATTTGATCGCATCATGTCATTGTTCAGTACAATTTATTCGGTCTTTTCGGTTATTCGGAACGCAATTTTGGTTGCCGAACATTCGGTGCATCCCTACTTCTTGGGGACTTCAACATCCACAATGATAAGCCATTTGCTGCTGACTTCCACTCTCTCCTAGCCTCTTTCGACCTTCAGCGACTCAACACCACAAATACCCATAAATCAGGTAACCAGCTTGATCTCATCTTTACATGCAATTGTATCACAGATAACATCTTGGACAAACCCTTCATGTTTTGGATCATTTCATTATTACTTTTAATCTACATCTACCTTCTTCCACCCCACCAACCCCTCTGCCAGTTTTGTTTAGACGAAATCTGAGGTTTCTTTCTCCTTCTCGACTCTCCTCTGTGGTATCATCCTTCCTTCCCACCCCCACACATTTCTCATCATTAGATGGAATTGTGCTACAGATACAATATGTACTACCCAAACTAGCTGCCTAGACAATATCTGTCCTATTTCCTCCAGACGAGCATGTGCTACTCCTTCCAACCCCTGGTTAACCGATGTCCTCCGCAAGCATCAGACTAAACTCAGGGCAGCGGAGAGAAAGTGGCACAAATCAAAAGACTCTGCTGATCTCAGCAAGTATCAGTCATTGCTATCTTCATTTTCAACCAAAGTTCACGCTGCCAAAATGGCCTTCTTCCACAACAAGATCAACAGTGCATCAGACACACGCAAACTCTTCAAAACATTCAATACCTTCCTTTGCCCCTCCACCACTTCTTTAACTGCTGACGATTTTGCTAATTACTTCACTAACAAAACCACATCCATCAGCAATCAGTTCTCGGCTCCACTCACCCAGGAACTCACAGTAAACACTCAACACAGCTGACCATCTTCTCTCCTCCTTCTCTCCTC